GGGCCAATGTCTGCATTTTAGCCTTTCACAGGCTTCTCAGGGAAGATGGGTTTTTGCTGACAGCCTGGTGAGCTCTTGGCTAGTAGTGGTCAGTGCGTGGTGCCAGACCCAAGAGTAAGGCTCTGGTGATTCCTGCCCCCAGCCATTTATACTTACACCCCAAAGCTGGGTTGCACACAGATGTCAGCCCACCTAATCCAAGTTTGCCCATTGCTCAGAGAAGACAGACATGGAGCTACCTTGTCAGAGCAGGTCCCACAAAGATCTGGACAGTGTGGGATGGCAGACAGAGCCCAGTGACCTGGGAGTCACCAGGGACAAGGGGCAGATCCACAGCTGCAGGGTGGCCGGGGAAGGTGATACTGCTTCTGCTCTTTACACAAATGGGGTGATTAAGTCACGGGTTCCCCAGGAGCATGTAGTGTGGGAAGGTGTGTGGTCACAGACGGTGCCGTGGCTCACCATGGGGGATTCAGAGGTTAGTGATGCGCCTCCTGTTGACAGAGCAGGGCCGTTCAGCCAGGGTCCCCAAAGTGAGCGTGTGTGGTGTGGAAGCTGATGCTTCCCTCTGGGCACTAGGGGACAATAGAATTGATGGATTCAGGAAGGACTTGTGACGTTCTGCAGTTGATGGGGCTGCCCAGTAAGGTGAGCCCTCCATCGCTGCGGGCATCCGTATCCAAGGAGAGATGTTCTGCTGGGGAACACGAGTGAGACAGGAGGGAGCCTGAGTGACCTCCGAGGTCTTTGGGACCTGGGGATCACATGGCTACGGTTTATGCCTTTGAACAAGTCTCTTAGTGTGCCCTTTGTGTTTCTACATGTCTGTCTAAGACTGTTGGGAACAGCCCTTACTCAGTGGCTGGGTCCCATCTGTGTCGTGGGGTCCGCATAAGGCCTCCTTGTAGAAGGAACAGCGGGCCTGCTTTTCATCCCACCTGGCTCCCGCATGGCTAGCTTTACACCTGAAATAACAACACACAAATTGTATTAATTTAAACACTGCCTGGCCCATTTTATCTGGCTTCCTCTTGGTTAACTCTCATATCTTGCTTAATCCATTTCTAATAATCTGTGTAGCACCACAAGGTGGTGGCTTACCAGGGAAAGATTCTAGCCTATGTCTGTCTAGGGTTGGAGAATCATGGCAACTGACTGCATCTGCTTCTTTCTCCCAGCATTCTGTTCTGTCTACTCTGCCTATCTAAGCTGCTGTCCTATCAAAGGGCCAAGGCCGTTTCTTTATTAACCAATGAAAGTAACACATAGACAGATGACCCTCCTCCATCACCTCCTGGCCCTGGGCTAAGTTGTAAGGCTAGTTTTCCTATTTGCTCTTTCATTCATTGATTAACTAAGTAATTAACAAGTCTCTCCCATGTGCCAGTGTTTAGGCAGTGGGGGTGTGCAGCACGAATAGGAGGTGAGGGGCGAAATCGAAAGCAGAAGGGAAAAAAGCTTGACCCCAGACACCCAGGTACCCGTTTGCTTGGTTGGTTTTTGAGTCAGGGTCTCATGCAGCCCAGGCTGGCCTTGAACACTGATCCTGTCTGGGATGTGGGCTGATTCAGGCGGGGCTGGAGCAGCAGAACCCTGCACACACATCCTTCAGCTGGGACGTGGAGGGAGACAGCAGCAGCAGCAGGGGGAGAGGGCGAGGCTGGGAGAACATTGCCTCCACAGCACCGCTCACACTGCAACCCACGCCCAGGCCTAGCCGATACGTGCTAGGTGTGTGCATGCGCATCAGGTACCCGAGCCTCTGGGCCCGAGGGGCAACGCCCGCGTGTTTGAGGGTTTGCACGTAGAGGCCCAGATGACACAGGGATCATTTGTGCCTTTGGCCACCTCTGTTGTCCTCCACCGATGTGGCTGGCCGTGAGGACAAACAGGCCACTGCCCAGAGGGGACAGCTCTGGTGAGACAGTAGACACCTGTGATCCCCATAACTCCTGTACACTGGTACACTGGCCGCTTTCTAAGGAAGAGTGGGTTCGGGGCAGGGTGTGGCAGCCCTCACACCTCGGCTCCAGCCTTTCCATGGTTTGTGTTCTGAGATCCTGTTTCTGTCTTCTACCCCACTGCCAATTGCAATGGCGGGGGTGGGGGGGGGAGTTCACAGGAGAGAGGGAGGGAGGACTCTATTCTCCCTCCACACATATACCCAGCAATTATTCTCCGCTATTGCCAATTCGAGATAAGTAGAAAATAACAGAGGAATGGAGGCAGGCCGCGTTCTTGCCATGACATTGGCATAGGCCATGGGAGCTGGAGGCCCCACAGTGACTGTGCCTGATGGGGCCCGCTGCTCTGGGGAGACCAAAGGGTTCCAGTCTGGCTAGCTGTGCACCCCCATCACTTCCCACCTCGGAGCCTCAATTTTACCATTTGTGACATGGGGACATGGCACTAGAGCATCCTGCATTGAGTCCAGGCCACACTTTGGTGAGGCCGCTCCCCTGTGGATTTTGGTCACAGCAGCAACGATTACCAGAGGAGCTCACTTCTAAGTCTGGGGACCAGGAAGATGGTTGAGCATGGGGAACACGGCACAGCTTGCTGCAGAGACAGGCGCTGCAGCAGGAAACCCAGGCAGAGTAAAGCAAGGCCCGGCAGTGTTTGGAAACACTGAGAAATAGAAACCAACAAGCCCTGGATGAAGGGTTTCAGGTGTGACTCAAGTGGTAGAGTCCTCGCCTAACACACAGGAGGCCCCGGTTCCATCCCCTGAACCTCATGCGAGGTGGAGACAAGAGGATCAGAATTTAAGATTCTCTTTGGAGATGTAGTGGGCTAGAGGCCAGCCCGGGCTACATGAGACCCTGCCTCAAGAAACAAGCAAACATACACATACACTATGGATCAAATACCTTTAATTTAAAAAAGTCCAAAAGGATCCGGGTGGTGGCACACATCTTTAATCTCAGCACTCGGGAGGCAGAGACAGGCGGATCTCTGTGAGTTTGACGAGGCCAGCCTGGTCGTCAGAGCGAGTGCCAGGGCATCCAGGGCTGTTACACAGAGAAACCCTGTCTTGAAAAAAGAAAAAGAAAGTCCTAAACAAAAGCCAGATGTGGTGGTGCACACCTTTAATTCCAGCATTTGGGAGGCAGAGGCAGAGGCAGGTGGATCTCTGTGAATTTGAGGACATTGTGGTCTATGTAGCAAATTTGAGGTCAGACAGAGCCATAGAGTAAGGCTGTGTCTCAAAATAAGTAAGTAAATAAATAAATACCAAAAGACAAAGTCCCCAAGTGAGGGACTGGAGAGGTGGCTCAGTGGTTAAGAGCATTTGTTGCTCTTCCGGAGGACCTGGGTTCGGTTCCCAATCCCTACATGGCAGCAGTAACTCATTCCAGGGAATCTGCCACCCTTTGTAGCCTCTGCAGGCACCAGGATGTACTTGTTACATGTACATAGATGCAGGCAAAACACCCATAACATAAATTAAAATAAATAGACTTTTAAAGAAATCCGAAAGTGATCCATACTCTGAAATTTTGGGGGAGACAGCATGACTTCACAGATGGAAACCTCCACACCTGGCTCCATGAGATACAGATGCAGTAAAGGTGCTGTGTAAAATTACCTTCCGGCCATGTGCCTAAGGTATACAGGAGGAACGCAAATTTCCCATTTCGACGTGGGTCCCTTTCCAAGATTGTTCATAATGTATATGCAGATATTTGAAATACTGAGAAAAAAATCTGAACTCCAGAATGCTCTGGTTCCAAGCATTTTGGATAGAGGAAGTTCACCTGTGTGATACAGGGGGGATCCTCTGTATCACCACAGAGGACAGGTGGTGTCTGTCAATCTCTGCCATTGGCCGCAGATATTTCCACTTCTTTCTTGTCGCTGAACCCTTCTGGATGGTGGCTGAACGGGTATCACCCTGCATTGTTAAAGCAGACTCCACGCAGGGAGTGGCATGCCCAGCAGGGGGATGGTGACAGAGGCGGGGTTAGAACTCAAGCCCCAAGCTCTGTCTACTCCCCCATTGCTCTCCCAGCTACTTGTGCCTCCTGCCAGTCCTGATCCGTGCCCCATTCCACTGTCTCCGCCCTCCTGCACCCTGCCAGGCACAGGGTAAGAGGGAGACTGGAGAGGAGGAAGCAGGGTGGGCACCGACTGCCACTGTGTGTCCCTCAGCTTCCAGGGCTAAGGGCAGCTAGGGAGCAAACGCCCACCCTCCTGGGGGACTGGCAAAGCTCTCATCTATCTAGAGACTCTTGCGCATAGTGGTAGTTCTCAGGCACTCTGATAGTGTATACTGTCCTGGGCTGGGTTCTGTCGGGGAAACTGAGGCCAGGCAGGTATGGTGTCTGGTTTCACGGAGCTCCTGGTCCACGGCCATAAAAATCACAAACAACAGTGACCAACTGGGTCCAGGGGAGCCCATGATGCCTAGGGTAGGTCATCACCGTCCATAGAGACTCTCATGTCTTCAAGGGACAGACCCGACACTCCTGAACCAGAGTGTGGATTCCATTCCCAGCCCTGTCAATAAACCACAGTTTGGCCAGGTCACCCCACTTCTGACCCAGCTCCTTATGTACAGAGAGTGATTCACAGTACTTTTGTCAGGAGGAAGGGGAGGGAGGATATCTTTCTGTTCAACTGAGACAGGCATGCGCCCTGAGTCAGTGTGTCCTTTCTCTTCCCTTGAGAGGATTACCTCAAGCCAGGGCAGAGCAGGGAAGGCTACATGAAAGAGGTGCCCTTTATTTTTTTCCTCCTCAGTACTGGGGATCAAAAGGAGGACCTCGGACACGATGGGCAGGGCTCTACCAGTGAGCCACACTTAACGCCTAGGAGGTGGTCCGGGTTCCTTCTGGGAAGCCTCTGGATGATCTTTGGTGTGTGGAGTGACTTGAGAGGAACGGCTTTCCAGGCAGCTCTGGTTGGGAATGAAATCAGGCTGAGACCTTGGCAGAGGGTATGGAGGGCACCACTGGCCGCCAGCTCACCGGGGTCTGGTCCCCTGCTCTTTCCCGCAGATGATGCGGTTTGCGTGGCAGAATTACCGCCGTTATGCGATGGGCAAGAACGAACTCCGGCCACTCACAAAGGACGGCTACGAGGGCAGCATGTTCGGTGAGTTGACACAGACCCCGGGGGCGCTGAGTGCAGCTCCACTTTGGTCTGCCCTTCTCTGGGCTTTCCAAGCTTTTCTGGACTCGGAGGACCCAAGTGCGTCTGCCCTCTCATACAGCCTTGCGTCCGAGCTTGGGATGGTGAGGATGGATGGTGAGGATGGTGAGGGGATAGGGTTTGGTGATGTGAACGCAGAAGACTGGGTAAATTCACTTTACTGGGTGGTGGTGAGATGGCATTGCCCCACAGAGTAAATGTGTATAAAGAGTTTGTGTTCAGGCTGCCTTTAGATTAAATTCCGGGGTGTCGTTCATGTTGCCTGGTGACAGCAGATCGGACACATGTCCCTTGTGTTTCTCCGGCAGCCCCCTGGCTGTGCCCCCTCCCTGCTATAGTGTTCTCTGGACCCAGAACCCTTTGGTACATCTCCTAAAGGCTGCAAGCCCAGCCTTCTTGTCCAAATGTCCTTCCAGAGAGAAGATGCTCTGGACAGCCTAGCCATCTCCTTCCTTTAGGGAAGGATGCTATGCTGGACCAGATAAAGGCGGCACCATACCCACTGGTCCTCACACCCGAGGAATACAGGTTGCTGGAGTTGGATCTAGAGAAGCAGGCCTGAGCTGGAAATCCCCAGGGAAACCTGAAGGGTGGTTGGATACCCGAGACGGGGGCCTGTGTGTGGAGCTCCCAGTGTCAGGGTTGGTGTTTAGGAGACACGCCCCAGACGCACATCCTCCTCCTGCAGTCAGTGCTGGAGGCTCTTAGCCTGTCCAGATGAGTCACCTCTGTCACAGGAGAAAAGGACATGGATTTGAACAGCCTTAGGCCTTTGTAAATGTGGGAGGAGAAGGGATCCAAAAATTACAAAAGTGGGCAAAGTAAGTGAAGAGATTAAAGTTGATCTGTCTTGTAAATGTAGCCACTGTTGACATCTTTGACCATGTCCTTCCAGTTTTCCCTCCTGTGCGTTTATCCTGTCTACACAGTTTTGACTCTGTGGGAGGGGCTTAGGGTAAATTGTTAGTATTTCTGTAAATGACAAATAATGTGTGTTGGTTGCTTTTCTCCTTTCTGCGGCCAAATATCTGACAAAATCAACTTAAGGAAGAGAGAGTTTGTTTGGCTCACAGTTTTAGGACGCACAGTCCATCGTGGTGGAGAAGGCACGGGGCAGGCATGTGAGGTGGCTTTTGTCATGGTTTTCATAGCAAGGGAGCAGAGAGAAGTGAATTTGGTGCTCAGCTTTTCGATTGATTCAGTCTGTGTCCCGAGTCACATCCAGAGGTGTGTCTCTTTGTGATTTTTAAATCCAGCCAAGTTGACGGGGAAGATTAACTGTCACAGAATATTTGTATTGATTTTTTAAAAATATTTCAGCCAGGCGTGGTGGCGTATATTTTTAATCCTAGCACTTGGGAGGCAGAGGCAGGTACATCTCTATGAGTTTGGGACCAGTCTTGCCTACACAGTGAGTTCTAGCACAACCAGGGTTACATAGAAAGACCCTGTCTTAAAAAACAAAACAATAATAATGATAATAATACATATTTGAGATGGCTCTTGATATGTTGAACTCCTGAGCCTAAACAGTTCTCTTGCCTCAGCTTCCCAAGTGGCTGGATGACAGTCTGCCCAGCTCATAGGAAAAGACACTAGTGGTTTAAATCGTCCCCCTCTCTTTTCCATAAAGGGGAACTGATGTTGACCGTGGGGCTTGAAACTGCTCAGTGTAGACCCAGCTATTGCTCAGGTTTTGCAGGAAGCACTTCTAGGAGGGACTGGGCTAAGTCTGGCCCAAAGTGACAGATTTATTTATTTATTCAGTCACTCATTTATTTGTTTAATGTTTCTTGAGACAGGGTTTCTCCGTGTAGCTCTGGTTTTCTTGGAACTCGCTCTGTAGACCATGCTGGCCTCAAACTCATAGAGATCCATGCATGTTGGGATTAAAGGTGTGTGCCATCACCATCTGGCTAAGAGCCTAGGATTTAAATCACAGACAGCCCTTCAGGACTTTATCTAGTAAGGGAGAGCCCTGGGCTCCCAAAAGGATAGAAAGAACAAATCCCTCAAGAAGACCTGAGTGCGAATCCTCCCTCCGTCCTTAGCTGTGGCTGTGCCCAAGTCACTTAACCTCTCTGGGCTCCAGGTGGTGCAGCTTTTGTCCTGGGCCTCTGTGAGGACATCTGTGGGAGCGTGTCTGAGTACCCGAAGGACCATGTGTTGGGAGGGAATGCGGCATGATTTCGACTGCAGTCAGTGAGAGCAGCAGTTGACCCAGGAAGCCTGCGATGAGTTGTGAGGTCCCTTGGACATCCTGATCCTAGGTGGAGGCCCGAGGAACCCATTGCCTGTCCCCACGGCACTCCTGGCAGTAAACATGCCCCCCCAGGGTGCCCTGGTGGCCGGGGGAAGGGAGAGGACAGCAGACAGGAGGCTGCTTTGATCCATTTTCTTTTTCACTCTCCACACTGTTGGGTGCTGGGCCTGGGGTCAGCTGCCTGGAACTCAAGGGGCTCCCCTTTCCTGGCCCTCTCCTGGGGCCTGTCCAGGGTCTTCAGAAAGGGACAGGTATAGGGGACCATTAGATATTGCTGTAAATCACACTTATTGGTCTGAAATCCTGGAGTCAGACAGACCTAGGTTCACACTCAGGCGTCCCTGCTTCCTGGTTGAGCGCTCCTTGGCTAGTATGTTTCCTGTAATCTGTTTCTGGGAGTTAGGGCCACAGGTGGCTCTGAACACAGCCTGGGCCTGCCTGTCTCAGAGCCCCGGCAATGGTGACAGATCTCAGAATTCAGAGTCCATGAGAGCACACCTAGAAGATAAGACTCCATTCATGGGTCCAGGGAGAGGGTCCCAGAGGTAGAAGCAGCTGCCCTGTTCTGCCCACACTCCTGCTTCTTTCCTGGCCCAGGGAGGAGTGGGGAGCGGCTGTTGGGTGGCCTCCGCCATCACCAGTGACCTCAAGTAGGCTGGGCCCTATAGACACAAGATGCCCCTGGGTAGGCAGGAATAGACAGACTCACCCTGCCCTGCCTGACGAAATGAGACTTACAGGGGACCCTGTCCAGCACGCATATGTGCAGTGCTCAGATGTGATGGGCTCCCACAGCCCGTTCCTGGGGACCACACTGTGTGCCTGCATATGGGGAGGGTCCTGAGACCACACCAGTGCCTCCCTTTGCCAAGATCTGTAGGAGCTATGGTGACAGTGGTCACTGTTTTGAGCCTGGTCTCTCCGGTCTCCCTGTGTGGCCCCTCACCATGCCAACAGCCCCATGCTGTCCCGTCCTTCTTCAAAGCTGTTTTTGCCCCGAGGGCGGATCCTCTTGCTGAGGACAGTTTTTGTGAACTGGGCATTCCACTGTCCCAGTAGCTTGTAGCTTGTCCTCATCCACATCCGGCTCAGCAGGCCCCATTGGAAGACACGCCCAAGGCCACCAGAGAAGACAGCCCGCTCTTGGCCTTTCCCTTCCTCTGTAAGTTCGCCATGTGGGACCCCTACTGTGCGGCTGGATGGTAGAGACGCATGGACTGTAGATCCAGCTAAGCTTCTGTGGCTCTCCACGGAGTGGGCATGGACTCAGTTTCCTGAGCCTGTGGGGATCATAATTATTTTGTGTATTTTGTGTGTGTAAGAGGTGGAGGTCAAAGGAGTCTCCTAAGTGTGGGTCCTGAGGCTTGAACACCCATTGACAGGCTTGCTGATGGGTATCTTTGCCCAGTGAATCATCTTGCTGTCCCTGTCCCTGGTAATTAATAAGGAGATACGCCCAGGATCCAGCCCGAAGCACCGAGGAGGCTCTTGGGCAGTAGGTCTTCCTGCTCCTGCCACAGAGGTCAGTCCTCAGACCAGGGCAGTGCGTGGTACAGGGGCAGAAGAGCCATCACAGGTTGGCAGTCACCGTATCGTAAAGTAAGTAGCTTGGCTCACAGAGGCCCAGTCTCTTTGCCTGTAGAAGAGGCCAGCCACTAATACCCACTGCTAGAACCTGGGGACAGAGAAGTTCCCTGGGGGCCCTGGACTCCATAGCCAGAGGGCCGGGATTTAATGTCACTCAGCTATTGCTAGCTGTGTAATCTTGGGCAAGTCTCTTAACTTCACTGGGCCTTTTTGGCCAGCTGCAAGGTGAGGCAGTAACAGAATTGTTTTCAGAAGAAGTAGTTAATGCACACAAACTTATGCGAATGCTCAGCACACAGGAGGCGCTCTGCAGATGTCCAGTACTTCGAGCATGGCGCATGCGCAGCACACAGGCTGCACGCTACAGATATGCAGTGCTTCGAGCATGGTGCATGCTCAGTACAAGGCGGCACGCAGCAGCTGTCCAGTGCTTCAAGTATGGCACATGCTCAGCACACAGGCAGCACGCTACAGATGTCCATGGCTGTGAACATGGCACAGGAAGAGCCCTGGGGTCAAACTGCTGCTCCCATGTCCTAGGGCATGTCCAAGTTCCCTGGACCCAGAAACCCACATAAGTAACATAGGGCTGTCCCCTGCCCCATCCCCATTGCCCTGGTAGGAATGCAGTGGGCACTGCACCTCTTGGCCCCTCATCTGAGCAGCAACTTAGAATTTCATGACAGGAAAACAGCAGAAAGTAAACCAGCCTCTTGCCAGCAGAAGGGTTTGGGGTGCCCAGGGCATGTGATCGGCAATCCCCCTTCTTTGCAGTCCATGTCAGCTGGCCGTGACGACACTCAATGAGTGCTCATCTTTCTGTCAGCGCAGTGAGAGCTTGGCCCTTCTGAAAGAAATGCACGGGACAGAGTCGTCTGCCTTGATAGTGTGACTGTTCATTTCCGGTTTTGTTTTGTTTAATTTTTACTTTTCAAGACAGGGTTTCTTTGTGTAGCTTTGGAGTCTGTCCTGGAACTTACTCTGTAGACCAAGCTGGCCTTGAACTCACAGAGATCGGCCTGCCTCTGCCTCCCAAGTGCTGGGATTAAAGGTGTGTGCTACCACCACCTGGTTTATTCCTTTGTTTTAGAGT